GGGGGCAAGCTCAAAACGACGAAATCAATTCTGTTATCAAAAAATGTGTTCATTCATTATATTCTCATGTCGAATATAACTCGTGATATGATTAATAATCGAAGATATGGCTCGTGAAACCGAAACAGCACATTCAACTCGTGCTTCGCACTCGTTGAATCTGCAGCTCGGTTTCACTCGAAATATTTTCGATAATAATCATATCACTTGTTATATTATAACTGAAAAATCAAAATCGGATAATAAATAAACTCTAAAACACATGCCGAAACACAGATTCGGAAATATTTTTCAAGCTGAGTAGTTTTCTGGTTTACTGGGGATGAGAGCAGGTATACGCCTAAAGAGCTTAACGCCATCACTCATAGATAAACGGATTAAAGTGAAGAGGCCAATTATGTTATGATTCAGGAGATTTTTTTACTAGAAATTATTTAGCTAATTTTCACAAATTCAGATTTTATTTTCTTCTTACCTTTGGTGTACACAGTGATTGGTCATAGGATCCTAAAATTTGTAGCAATATACAAGTGATTACAGTTTGTGGTCGCTATATCAATCTGAAAATGTATCTGTTCATTAGAATACTGCGTTTATATGTATAAGCAGGTATGTACGTTTGTATGTATTTTACAAGTTTAATACCTATACCTACAGTGGAAACTCAAAAATCATAAAAAGTTGTAACAAGATTTTTTTTATAAACAATATATAGATTGGTCATATCATATCTTTTATGTTAATTGCTAACTTAGGGGCAAGATTTTATGACCCACACGTTACATGTTTCAAGTAAAATAGAAATAGAGTTTGCATTTTGGAAATGCAAATTTTTACATAAAAATTTTAAAATGATGTCTTCTTTGAGAGTCGTCATTGTCATTTTCTTCAACAGGAACTTCATAGTTGGTGGCGAAAATTTGGTTAAATTTTAATCGCCACACTCGTATTATATTTTAAAATACATTATTTGGTAAAAAATCTAGCAAAATCAAAAGTTTATGTTCATATATAGCTGTAGAAAAACTTTCAAAAAATTTTCACTCTTCAAAAAAATGATTAAGTTGCGATTTAAAAACATGTCAGTAACAATATAAATTAAAACAAAAAACAATCAACATACAATTTTTATGTAGCTCTATACATGTTGAAAATATCTAGAAAATCGAAATTAAAAATTTAAATATACATACTTATCAAAATTAAATGCAAAAAATTTAACGATTATGTTTTTTTTTTTAAGGAGAATGCCTCGTTTTACCATACAATGGACAAAAAGGGTAAATCATATGGAACATGTATATTATTACCAAATGCTAGGCCAGTTGCACATAACGAAAAGGAAAGCTTGTATTTTTGCCATTTGGACACTCAAAAGGGGTAAAATCACATACGTTCCATATGACGAAGAATTTTGTAAAAAAAATGGTTCTGAAACCCCAAAAATTTTATTTTAGATGCGTTATTCCGGAACTTGTTGATCCTAGGAGACGTAGGGGATTATCTATTCGAAATCCTGATTATATTTTAAAAGCACACAGAGAAAAAAAGTCACTAAAAGTTAAAAAACAACTTTAATTAAAGTTTAATAAAACTGATGGTTATTTTTTTGTTGTATTAATTCGTTATTATTAATTTTATAAATTTGACATCTTTTTTTTACTATAAATTATACTCCTATTACATAGGTACGTACTATTTATGTATAGATTATTTGCTCGTTTTGAAAATATATATGTATTTAATATAATAAATCTGTTACCTCTGAAATGGTAGTTTAATTGTCTGCTATTCTACTGGTTTATATTGATCAATATGATGCCTTTCTTAATACCAAAAAAAAATCGTGAAGAGTATTTAGATAATTGTAAAATTTACCTGCAAAATAGAAACACAACACAATAACCAGAGGACGGACGACGGTCCTCAGGTAATTTATTCACATAAGGGAGTAGTACAGTCGCCCATCCAAGTAGAGGTTTTCGGTGCAGTGCTGATAATTCGCACCGACAAATGTATGTATTTCAGCTCCATCTTTAAAAGCAAGGGTAAAATTCTTGGGCTCGGAATAGCTGTCAGTAATATTGAACGTCCAACTCTGGCTGTCATAATAATAATTGGAAAAATTTACAACATTGCCTGCTTGCTAGCCACCCGAGCTTTTCGGATTCTGACTAAATTTTATTACCTCAAGTCTGTGTCTTTGAAGTTTCTGGTTACTAGTAACAATTTTACAGCAAAAATATTTTTTTTTGTGCCTGTGGGTATATTATTTTAAAAGCGTTTCCTTAAAATTTATTCCTTTTTTGATACCATATTACGAAGGGGACACTCTAGGATAATCGATGAAAGAAATAAATACTGCACACTACTAGATAAAGAATCGAAAACATAGAATTTTATTTTTATTATTTTATTAGAATGCTAACAATTTGAACAGCAACATAATATGTAATAATAATAATTGTTTGTATGTACACATGCATGTAATAGTAACAATAATAACATTATTATTAACAAAAAATAAATTTAACACCGTTAACGTTATACACCCGGATACATGGGATCAGTGCTCTTAATAAATTTAATGCATTAAAGAATAAATTTGGTATGTGTATACAATTTTGATTTTCCTTCAAATACGACCAATACGTTCTTCACTCAAATATTTGACTAGTTATGTATGCATTTTGCCTTAACCTACATACTTCTCTCTTTTCCAACTTAATATTTACCAAAATTCTTATCACATATTGAAACAAAAATATACAGATGCGTGTGTATACTGAGCCAACATATTTTCTCATTGGTTTCACTTATAATTCATATGGTCCGTACTTGTGCGGCCTGCGCCTCTTGGGATTTATTTTTTATAAACGAAGTGACAAGGAAAGCATAAAACAAAAGGAAATAATAATGTATAATAATGAAGATTATATATAGCCTGAGGTATATGAAGGAAACTGAGATTATTGACAAAGATTATAAAAATTTTAAGGAGAAAGAATAGACCAAAGAGGAAAATGTAGTTAAAGAGTTAAAGATCACCAATGGAAACTTTGGAGAAGAGATCTTGATATACAAAAGTAGGAGGGAGGAGGAAAGTCAGGCTTCATTTAAAATCGTGTGTTCCACTTTCGCCACTCGATCTTGTCCCTTAATGACAGTAAAAGTTCAAATTCTATCTTTCTTGAATTTATGGCAACTGATTGATTAGTAGAAGTAGGAGAAATTGAGCAAGCAAATGATTGGTGAAAATGTTCAAGGTCCTTTCAATTACACGTTAAGTTTTACAATTCTCAAATTAGAAAATTATTGATAAAATGATATTGCACGAATTAAGCTTGGTGAACGAAGACCGTGGCTTTGAATGCGATTCATTTTATTTAAATAATCGCCGACTTATGAAATTAGAAACTAAATTATATGTAATGTATGTAAAGTGCCAAAAACAGGAACTGGGTGACCTTGTGGAATTCTATCTTCGCTCCGTTCCAAAAATTTCCAATCATCCAGCATGGGTGATTGCCTGAGTTTACAGCGCGAAATTTAAATTTTAAATTTAGGACACCACAGTATTAAACTTAAAGTAACGAAGACTTACAGTACCAAGACTATTTCAAAATCTTCTCAGCTTCAATTACCCATAGTAACGTTTATTTCCATTTCCACTGTCCAAATTTCATCACAATACTAAACAGACTTGATGCAAGAAAATGTATCTACGTATATGTACATTATATACTTTGAACAATGTTTTCTTTTTATTTTTAGAAATGATATAAAATTGGGCCTTGCCCAACGAAAAAACTAAATACAATCTGCCTTCAAAAACCAGTCCTATTAAGAGTCGTTGAGTGCAGAATAATAAAAATTTTCCGCAACTATACTGAATGATATTTGTTTGAGATTCTTGATTAACATTTATCTGTTTTTGCATGTTCTAGTCGATTTTTTTTAATGCTCCTAAACTGGAAGGTAAAACTAGAGATCAGGGTTTTCTTGAAATAAGATTGTGTATAGAGCGTATACAAGAAAAATTTTAATAAAATAACTGACCTATTAAAAAAACCTAAGATAGTGTATCAAGAAAATAGCAGTTTTATGACTTTGAGTTTTTTGCTACCCTTGTCAACAAAGAATGCAGGTTTTAGAAGCAAATTTATGACAACGCCATACAAAACAAATTGATATCGTGTCATAACAATTAATTAAAAAAAAAATTGAAACAAATAGTTAAAACGAAGTAAAATACATATATAATATAAAACAACAAATACAACTTCAAAGAACCAGTTTTATCACATTTTTGTTAAACAACTTGACTGATAATAATTCACATTCACAACACATTATCAAAAATCCCGGCAAAAATCTTCCAAAAAGCCTCTTCAGAATTTGGCTTAACATTCGCAAACACTTCCGACCAATTGTTGTTCAAAACTTGATTAAAATTATCCCCGAGAGCTTTGTCCTCATCAAACAAATTATCCATCTGGAATTTAATCGACTGTTGCAATAAGATGAACTTGTTGTCGACGACTTTATAATGTGACTTCCCGTTTTTCTCGTACTCTTTGAGACTGAAAGTGAGATGAAGGTTCAAATTATCTAAAGACATTCATTAATGGGACGGTTTAAGAAAGTGGCATAATCAATAAATCGTTTTATACAACATTATGCAAATCACCATCATCACTACTCTCGGTTACCATTATTTAAAAAGGGGCAAAAAGTGATATGTAGAACAACCAAGGGATCACCTTGCTCAATACGGAGGACAAGATATATGTATACGTAATGATACTAGATGAGAGGTTACGAAAGAAGATGGAACAAGGGGTATGTTACCAGACGATCAGGTAGGGTTTAGGAAAGGAAGAGGTATTATGGACAATGTGTGTACAAACTCCACCATCATTTTCCTCCCTACTCTTTCGATTCAATTGCGGTAGGTCGTTAGTACACATCAGTACTGTTTTTGCCTGTTCTTGTTGAGAGCTCAACCAAGACGGGAGCTATTCTGGTTGGGCTCTCAACAAATTAAATAGACTCCAAACTCCAAGACGGTAAGGAATTTTGTTTCTTTTTTCTAATAAATTAGAACTATATTTCTATGTGATATTTACCTACAGCCGCTAGCAGTACAGTGGAAGTCAAAATGCATCCGTGAAAACCACTGAAAGATGATTTGGAGTTGGGAATGATTTCGGAGACCATCAAATACCTGAGGTAAGACTAAACTGCATTAATATGTTTTGCGAGTGGCAAAGTAATCGCTTTCGGTGATAAGAATTTTTTTCCGGATTTTTAAAAACATCTTTCTAAAGTTTCGCAAATATCACTTGTTTGGCTTTCATTGGACGTTCAGAAATAATGAATATTACAAATATTTGTAAGCTTTGTTTGATATTTTTATTTTTCACCCCAACAATATATCATTTAGTTTCTTATTTACTATTGTTGTAGAACTCCTTCAATTTTGGCAAGATGTTGTAAAGCGGTATGTTTCTCTTTCTGTCTTAGTCCGATACAGTTACGCGGGCATTCTTTACCTGTTTAAATACAGTCTATTAGAGGAAGACAGAAACAGAGACATACCAGAGGTTGCAAATGGTACAGTTTTACAACACCTTGGCAAACTTCAAAACCCCATGCGACAATTATAATTTTTCTGGTTAGAACTCGCTGCTACTCTGGGATTATCAGAGCGCCAAGTTAAAATCTGGTTTCAAACAGACGACCGAAAGGGCGGATACAAGCAAAAAGAAGTGCATTGGAGAGAAAATCCAAATGGACAGCTTTCACCAGCAGAACCTCTTACAGCAGCAGCAACGACAATCACAACCGGGTCAGGGGGCAACATAAATAAATAATAAACAATGAATAAATAATGAATAAGTATTGAATAAGTAATGAATAACTAATGAATAACTAATAAATAAATAATAAAAAAATAAATAAAATAAATATTCGAGTTTTATCTAATAATATACTTATTTCCCTTATTTTCCGTACCTATTTCATTCAGCCCAGTGCTCTTCCATCCTCGTTTAACACTTCTTCCCAACTTTACTTCGATTCTCTCAATCCTTCACATCCTTCCAGCATATGCTCTATTGTTTCTCCCCCTCTTCAACATATTGTACACCTTCTGTCAGTTTCATCCATCCAAAAATTATTTTCTTTCTCTTCATTTCAACACCTAAATCTCGCCATCATCCTTTTCTCCTTTACACACACACTCTTTCTCTGTGTGTGTGTCCTTTGGTACGTCCTCCTTTGCTATTTTTCTATACTCTGCATTATATCTGGACCCCCATATTCTCGATCTGCGTTCTAGCTTGTGTATATCCTTATCTCTTACACTCAGTTCTTCTTTCATACTCTTTCTCATTTCTTTCATTCTCTCTATTTCTTCACATGAATATCCCTTTCCTTCATAATACTTGTCTCTTTCATTCCAAACCTGTTTACCTCCTTCCTTTCTTATTTCTTTCTAACATTCGTGCAATGTTTTACAATAACCGCTCTCACTGAACTTCTCTTCAAATCCAACCGCCCTTTTAACCGCTTCCACTCTTATTTTCCCCCTTTTTGTTTCTTCTCTCACTACATACCCCGGTGGGATATTGGGATTTCCAATCCCAATGTCCATTTTAAGTATTTTTCTTGCACTCTCTCTATTTCTTCATATTCCCTCCATCCCCAAATCTCAGCTCCGTTCATAAATACACTCTTGATCAAACTATCAAACATCATCATTCTTCCCTTATAATGACGTCCAAATTTTCTCTTTCCTATTCCCCATACTATTCCTATCAGTTTGTTCGCGTTTCGGACCATTTCTTGAATTTAATTTTTAAAATCTGGAAAGGCTCAACAGCTAGCAGAAATATATTCTTCAAGCAGTTTATCTTTTTATCCAAAATGCCAAAACCATATTTTATTTTTACATGTAATAACCGGCTGCGATACTACATCAGCACTGTTCAGAAGAGGTAAAACGTGCGCTAAAATATTTGAAGAAATTAACGCGTCTCCTCAAACGATAATCACAAAAGGAATTCGCTTTCTCCTTATGGTTTATGGAGCTCCAAAAAAAATAGTTGTTTCGTCAAACTACACTCCCACCTGCTCCGAAAAAACTTCTAAACACTATTTTTTGCAATTGCAAAAAAGGTTGTTGTACTAAGTGTGGCTGTAGAAGAGTAGGGTTGTTGTGTTCACCAGCGTGCACTAATTGCGAAGGTCACTCTTGCTCGAATGTTCAGTGGAATCCAACAGACGAAGATTCATGTAATATCGAAGAAGAGACAACTGATTCATCTTCAGTTGAAAAATTTATGAACATCCAGCAAGAAGAGGAAGAAGAAGAAATTGAAGAAGACATGACTGTTGAAGTCGAATTTGAAAAGTATGAATCAGATTAAAATGTTAACAGATTTTAGAACCATAGTTTAAATCAATCAACTATATCAATATCAAAATCAATAATCATCATGCAGTAATTACAGCATTTTCCCATAAAACTCCGTCGTAACAAATCGTAGGCCTACAGGGGAAACCACGTTGAAAAAAATTGGTCTAAAGAGTTTAGACAGTACTTCCCTCGCTGTCGGAAACTTGACGACAGCATGCCTATTGTGTTTTTTTCTGATTACATTTTTGTAGTGGGAATTTAAAAAAAATTGCGAAGACGTCATCAACATTTTTGCAAGGACACGTATATCAGTTGGGATAGATGTAGTGTAATACTAAGAATAAAATTATTGTATTCCCAAATTTTCGGGAAAATGAATTGAGTCGTTTTGAATATTGATTTGTTATAATATTATATTATTATTATAAACATTATTATTATTATTATTATAATCAATAAAATAACGAAACAATTTACTCACGTATAAGGCGCCGGCGTGTAATATGAGAGGGAACTGAAAATCGTGTATGTATAAGCATTCGTAATTTAAGATGACAAGCGTAACAGCATACGTGAGAGTCAAACAGAGAAACTGTAAACAAAACGACCATCGGTTTTATTGCTTCGACTTCCGCTTATTATATAAAACATTGGGTTTTATTTTAATTTTTGACGGTGGAATTCACAATTGGTTGATTATAAACATGTCTATACCACATTCGCGGAACCTAGAGAGCGCGCAAAACAAATGTACGTCTGTAATGTTAAAGTCGATGTAAATAAGCGTGCTACCCTTATGTTTCAACCGAGTTTTTACTTTAAAAAATTTTGTGTCTACCAAATTGGGTTGGTCCAATGTAATATTAATAATAAGTGTTGCCTTTAATTTGATCAATAAAACAAATTGACTTCATTAATTTTTTTGAGCCACCTCTTAAGAAAATCTAAAAAATATGAATGGAATGATAAATCACAAGTACAAACTCATCATCTTTTTTGCATTTTAGATAGGATTTCTTTAGCAAAATTTAAGGGTGACGTCACCAATTTTTTTACGAGGGATGAACAAATACATTTTGAACAAAAGTTTACCATGCTTATAATAACTTTAAAATATCTCCAAGATTCCAAAGCATTCGGTTTTGTAATTCCTGATTAAATCGATAAAATAAATTCACCCATTCATTAATTTTTTTGAGTCAGCCTGTATATGTAAATCCAAAAATTATGAATGGAATGATAAATCACAAGAAAAGACTCATCATATTTTGTACATTTTAGATAGGATTTATTTAGCAAAATTTTGTGGTGACGTCATAAATTTTTTAGGGGGGATGAGCAAATATATTTTGATCAAAAACTTACCATGCTTATGATAACTTTAAAACATCTTCAAGATTTCAAGGCATTCGGTTTTGTAGTTCCTGAGTAAACCAATAAAATAAATTTACGCATTCATTAATTTTTTTGAGTCACCCTGTATATGCAAATCCAAAAAATATGAATGGAGTGATATATCACAAGCACAGACTCATCATATTTTGTACAGTTTAGATAGGATTTATTCGGCAAAGTTTCGAGCTGACGACATCAATTTTTTGGAGGGGATAACCAAAAATATTTTGACTAAACATTTATTATGCTCTTTATAACCTTAAAACATGTGCAAGATTTCAAAGCATTCGGTTTTGTAGTTCCTGAGTAAACCAGTAAAATAAATATACGCATTCATTAATTTTTTTTGAGTCACCCTGTATATGCAAATCCAAAAAATATGAATGGAGTGATATATCACAAGCACAGACTCATCATATTTTGTACATTTTACTACGTACTTACTATGTACAATTTTGAAGTGACGTCATCACATTAGTGGTGGGGATGACTAGACAAATTTTGGTTAGCGTTTTACCATCTACATGATATTCCTAATATAACTACAAAACTTCACAACAATCGATCCAGTACTTTCGGAGATTATCTGTCTAATAAAAATCCGGGACGGCAGACAGACGGACAGACGGACAGACAGACGGAAATGGGAGACCTATTTCTTGGTCTTCTAGGGGTCATGAAAGATCGAGAAAACGTAAAAGTAGAGAGTCGGCCGACGGACTCGATTACAATACTTCCTTTGCTTACGCTCGGGAAGTAAAAAACGCGCCAAGTAAACTACATCACAGGTGGAGTGGAAATGTGTGCATATCATGTAGAATGTAACTCCTTCAACTTTTAGAACGGCGATATCTTAGGAATGGTCATTCTTAGGGAAAAAAGTACAAGAGCCAGTTTAGTATATAATTTTAAGCTCTATAATTTTTGTCTGAACTATATTTTTGATAAAACTTACCGTTTTCGAGAAAAATCGAAAAAACAAAAAAAAAATGACTTTTGACCTTGAATAAATTTTTTAGCACACTTGGGATCTATGGGGACTTTTGACAATTTATTTCTACTGGTGTACCCAAGGTCTGTACCAAAATTCAGCTCTGTCGGAGTTTTTGTTATTTGATCATTATTTTTATGTCTATTTTGACCGGACTAGGATATACATAAGCAAGAACGCAAATCGAGAATATCGGAGTCTAGATATAATGCAGAGTATAGAAAAATAGTAAAGGACCAAGTACCAAAGGACACACACAGAGAGAAAGTCTAAAAGAGGAAAGAATGATAGCGAGTTATAGGTGTGGAAATGAGGAGAAAGAGAATAATTTTTGGATGGATGAAACGGACAGAAAGTGTAGGATATGTTGGAGAGAGGGAGAAACAATAGAACATATGCTGGAGGATGTGAAGGATTGAGAGAATCGGAAGAAAGTAGGGAGAAGTACTAAACGAGGATGGAAGAGCACTGGACTGGACTGGATGAAAGAGGTACGGAAGAAGAACTAAGAAAGCAAGGGGTGGGCAAGCAGAAAGAATAGAACAATTATTATTACATAAAACTTTTTAATTATTTATTTATTTTTCATTATTTATGATTTGTTATTATTTATGATTTGTTATTATTTATGATTTGTTATTATTTATGATTTGTTATTATTTATGATTTGTTATTATTTATGATTTGTTATTATTTATGATTTGTTATTATTTATGATTTGTTATTATTTTTTATTATTTATTATTTTTTATTTATTTTTTATTTTTTACTACTTTTTATTATTTATTTTGCTGCTGCTGTAAGAGGTTCTGCTGGTAAAAGCTGTCCATTTGGCTTTTCTCTCCAATGCACTTCTTTTTTAACTTGGCGCTCTGATAAACCCAGAGTAGCAGCGAGTTTCGATTTTTGTTTGATTGTTATGTAACAATTAAATAAAGTGGATTCTTTTTCTAATTCGATCCTTTGGAGGTCCGAATAAACTATTCGGTATTTGTCCTTCGTTCCTGTTTTCCTAGGGTTGCACTGACTCTGATAACTCGTCTACTCATCCACTCGAAGGGGGT